GTCTTCGCGGGCTTCTGCAGTGGAATTCAACACGTCAAAGCGTGTGCAGATCGCGGATAGAAATCCGCAAGGTTCTGCGATTTGAATTACTTTCCAACGCGTGGAGATTTGGGGATAGCAGTAATGGTAAGGAAACTTCAGTTGGAAAAGATGAGAAGACATCAGGGCGCTCATGTCGTCGGGAGAATAAGAGTGAAGACATTTAAGTGAGTGAGCCAACTGCTGTGCTTCAAATTAAGGCTCAAGAAGTTGGAGGATTTTGGAGGAGAATGTGAGCAATTGTGTTTCCCCGGCGTTTCTCCCCTCTCCTGGGCTTAGTCCTAGTGAGATCTACCATCGGCCCTGTTTTGAATGTTCCCCCAAGGGCATGAGCGTCGCGATCAGCAAGCATATATAGCTGGAACTAAATAACTATATTTCAGTGATAACTCCTAAATTTAGTGTTTCTTATTCGCTTTGGTGATACTAGTGACTTTTTATGAAAGGTTTTCTCTGATTTTGTGCTGAAATCTCCTCACTGACATTGCTGCATAGAAATCTCCGCGTGAAGTTTTTTTCAACTTGCAGAATATGCGGAGTTTATCAGCAGCCAGCGTTGTATTCTATTGCAGAATGCGCGAGGTACTGTCCCATCCGGATTATCGCACGTGCTGCCGCGCCGCCGCGCAATGCCGCGTGCCAGCCCGGATGAGCCAAAAGTCCCACACCCGATTTTCCGAGGGAGTAAAACACTGATAAGTACATCAGCCGACACTCGCAGGTCGTTGTGTGGACTTGCTATATTAAAATGGCGACATATAATTCTTAATGAAAGTAGAATGTTTGGTGCTTCCAGAAGGGATTTGCCAACGCACAATTAAATCCTCCGCCGTATTTACGCTTATCTTGATGTTCAGCTTAAATACGGCGCAGAGGGCTCTACAATTTGTCTCTAGGGCGCGGGGTTTGATTTTTGTTCATTTTTACTACTTTATACTTCATCAATCCTTTTCTATGTGTGGTCCGGTTTTTCTGACAATACTTCATTCGTCGAAAGCAAAAGGTGAGCTGCCCAGGCTATGGAAATGTCACTGAAATAAAAAAGCCAAAAAAAAAATCACAAATAGCAATGAAAAAAGTCGAAGAAAGGCAATACTCATTTTTTTGAGGAGTATACTTCGACTCACTGCAAATAATTTGGATTTAGATAATGGGACGGGATCAGATACGAATGCGCAGCACGGGAAAAGTTGATGTGGAGAAGCTTGCCGAAGCTATCTCAGTCGAATGCGGAACTACTTGCTCATGTGATTCAAACTGTCCAAGCAGATATGCAGAGGTATGGTACGAGTTAAACTTAGATTTTGTATAGAAAATAGAAGTATTTTTCTTGAAGTCGAATTGTGTTGCGTTGTAGATGAAGGCATTCATCGAGAGCGTAGAAAAACTGTAGTCAAATCTGAGAAATTGTGTTCCACGATAATTACCTTTCTAACTTGCTACGCATTGTTCAGTTATTTCAATAATGTCACTGCTACAGTTTGGCCAAGCCCATTCAGTAGCATGCATTCATCAGAGGAATCCCGAAGTTGAGCCTCTTTATTTCAGCGTGGTAGAAAGGTTCCATTAGTCGTGATGTACACGACGACAAAGGGGTGGAGCGTCTTTGCGCCGCAAATAATTCCAGCCGGTACTTTCCTCGGTACCTATACTGGCGAGGTATGATTGTACTGATTCATTACTCTTGTTTTAATGTTTTGTTTTCTTTTGGGAACTTAGGGGCGGAGACGACTGAGAGTAAAAAGTTTCTGAGAACGAAAATGGCTATCAGGTTGTGCCTGTTATGTTTGAAACGAAAATACAGTTTATTCTATTTAAGATTATTCCCCTATGCTCAGCAATTGCACAAGGGTTCTCCACTAGCTACCAGTTCACAAATATTGTGGGTTTATTCCCTTATTCGAAGATTCTTTTGACGTTGTTCAGTATTGTTCATCCTGAATCACTTTTTAGCATCAAATACCGGGTACAAAGCAGTATGTCGTTGACGCGTCGCGGATGGGAAATGAAACGCGGTAATTTCTTCTAAGTCTGTTTCTGTTTCGCTTTTTAAAGTATGAGTTTGCTTTCAGTTACTTCAATCACGCTTGCGGTGACGCGGCTAACCTTAAGGCAGTATCTTTGCTGTCTCGTGGCAATCTACTTACTAATAACATGCTCTTTTTTACAAAGCGAATGATCTCCAAAGGTCAGTATTTCACTATTCCTTTTTTCATCACAGTTTACGTCTTAACACGACGACGACATGACATGACATGACGACAGCATGATGCACTTACGCATCTCACTTCGCACACCACGTCGATGTGGTCGTCAATGTGGCGCGGTTGCGCGTCCCATCCAAGCTGTCCCTTTTTCTCGCGCCTGCCTGACCTCTTCCCAAAGTTTTTGCAGTCTTTCCATGGATCACATTCATGACTGTAAACGAAATGGTTCACCGTATGATCAAATATACTTGATTTTAGCAGAGGCTTTCTAAGCGTTACGAATTTGGCGTTCACTCCTTGTTTTCTTCTTGTTCTGACGACCATGTAAATAAAAAGAGTAGCTGAAGTAAATACAAACCCACATGGAAAAATATTTGTTTTTTGGCACAAAAACGTCGAAAGTACTTTTGACGTACATTCCATCCAGAGAAAAAAGTAATGTTTGCTTTTTCACAACCATTACAATTTCTTTTGATCGATCCACCCCTGTACCCTGTTTAAGTTCCACTTAGTGCTGAAATTTTCCATACCATTCAGGTTTTGCATAGTTATCACTCAAAATTTTCGGATGAAGGTGAGGCGCTCATGTTCGCGAAATCGCGCCTGTCACACGTGGCCAAAAAGCAGATAGGTGGCTTTCGTCAAGACGTGTTCATGAGTTTGGGCCATCATAAATAAGCAGGAAGCTCTTCTACCCTCCCCGAGATTTCCTGATTTTTGTCTGTTACTTTGTGGTAGGAATGGTATTCTTCTCACATACGGAAAGAAGTACACAACTCAACGTCAAGTTCTCCGCTGA